GGTTGTGATAAGGAGCCCAAATATGCAGTCCAACCGAGTGGGCGGCGAGCTGTGTGATCGTGACATTAGCAGCGCCCATTACTGCTTTGAGCACGGCAACGCCGCAACTAGCAGTTTAAAGGAAATGGGAATGAATCCTTGGCTAAAATACGAACAGATACATTACCTGTTCAAAGCGCGCCCCCGTTTTTACATGCAGCACCCCACCAATGTAACCCAACTCTAACCACTAACCTCCAATTCTAACACCGCCATCACGCTCACGCCGCCCCAAAACCCCTATCTCGACACTTGCTTCACCCGATTCCGTCGCGGATCGGATAGGAACTCGACTCTTCTCCCCGTCGTCCCCCTCTTCCGCCATAGCCCCGGCGCACCCCCCCTTTCTCTACAAGTCCTCCCTACCACCCCTTTCCTCCTATTCTAACTGTGGATTTGGGGTCGCCCGACGTTTAAATCCCCAGAATCCATATCGATTTGCCCGAATCAGTTGAGGAACAATCAGGCTACAGAAAAATCTTCATTGCCTGCCTCATCCCCGCCATATCTTCACGCAGTTCTTTTTCATCTAACCTCCCAATCTACTAACTATCTCCTAAAACTAATGCTACCATTACACTCGCAGCACCAAGAAACCTCAAAAACGTGTCTTCAATCGCCCGTTTCACCRAGAAACGRGCGAGGTCCACRTTTCTAACTTTTCTTCCCTTCCGTTCCCCCCATATCCCGGCGCACCCTCTCTGACTACTAACTCAATCTATACTAATATTCTCCCCGATCTGACCTTACCATTGAAGTCGCCTCACCCAAAAATTGTGGATTCGGCTCTTTGCCCGCCGAAATCYGTTCGAAAACGCATGAGATATKCGTTTCCCACCCCTTCTCCTTCTTCCTCCCGACATAGTTCCGGCGCACCACCTTTTTCGTCTTCCCTTCTAAACACCAACTCTCCCCCAAATCTAACACTACCACTCGTTTCGCCCTCCCTTCAAACCATGGATTCAGCTTTTACTCCGCTGAAATYCATCGAGGAATGAGAATGCACGACCCATTCTTCCCCTCTTCATCCGCCATGGCTCGTTCGCCATTTGCATGTACCTTACCCACTCTTCCGTCCGGGTGCGTCCTTTTCTCTGCTGTTCTCCCTTGTTGCTACCCGTCGCTCCCTGCTTCGCTGCAGCGCTGTGCACCACCGCYTTAGCCCCCGTCACTYYGCCTCACCCGTGATGCTCAGCTCCGCCGTGCCTATCCTYGGATGTACCTGGCGCGAATTCACGCCAGGTTCATCTCTTCTTCAGCTCACCCCCTCACCGCTRCGCCCTGSYCCGCCTTRCCTTCTTCCCCTRTCTGATCACCYGCTCCCACTGCCTTGCCCGTTTGTGCCCGRCACTACTCCGCCACCTCCTCTGCTGCACTATCACTCCGTCCCGCCCCTGTTGCGTAGTGCTGCTATCACTAACTTAGCGCCCCACCTGCCAGYSTTCATAGGGGAACGGGACCGAAGGCGAGGCGCAGTGGCCGGCCCAGCGCAAAGACTCAGCCCGACGCTACCAGCCGGCCCCCGACATGTGCCACCCGCCCATTACAGCGCCTATCGCCCCYTGCCCATGGGTACAGCCCCCGCCTGTTCCCTCGTTGAAGGCTCGAGCACGRATGTGGCTGCTACGGGGATCCCCAGAATACCATAACGGGGTACCCCGACACAGTCGTGAAAACAGTATGCGGCTGCACCCCATACCACCCTGCAAATACAACACACCCCCGCGCGACCTCACCGGACCCAGTACGTGGGTGATATACCATTAGTGTTACCGACCCTCTTTTTCCTCAAACACAATTACGAACTCGGACTTTGACCACGTCGTCTCACGTCCCTGGGCGGGACGCGATAAATAAAACACAAAAGGGAAATAAAGTAAAATAATAATAGTATCGGGAAAACCGCGGGGCTGCTGGCGCCTCGCCAGTCCCGCGGATCGGGCCCGCTGCCGCGCCCGAAAACAAAACCGAGGGGGATAGCCTTGGCGGCCCTCAACCCCATTGGTCCCTTCCGCGACGCTTCACTACCGTCGCTGCGCAGTCGCCCGCTGGCCTCAATCCCCGAATCTTCCGTAGTAGTAGTCCGAGGCCGTAACCTATAGGGCTAAGCCCAAGCCTAGAGTTAGCCTGCGCGAAACCCAATATAAGGTGGTGCAGCGCAGTGCCTAGGCTAAAAAAACGGCCTGGGCATCGTCCCCGCCTACACCCAAACCCACGGCCGCTAGGTATCCATGCCGGCCTACCCAAATCGTGTCGTAGCCGGCCCCGCGCCCATGCACTCCTTATTATAGTCAACCATCCAGTCAACGTAAGTCACAGACGCAGCCGCGCCAAGCGCGGTATACTTAAACTTTAAACTAAAACTATTTCCTGTCACTTGCAAAAACCAGGGCGGATACCCTTGTAAGGGTATTTGCGCCGACAACTTACCGGACCACATTAAGCGACGTCCCCGTCGCTTCGCAAAATCGAAAAGCTATCAGATTACCCAAGATGCTGACGAAAGAGGAACCAATCCGATTGGCCGACAAACACAGGGTAGAGGCCTCCATCAAACCCTGCCTCCACAACTATATGCTGCCAGGTTTCTAACCTGGGCCCACACCGTCCAGTTATTAGGACGCTGACAACATAAGTTCCAAAGACCTTCCCAATCATCCTCTCCCCGGTCCTAGACAACCTTCGGCTTCTCGTTGGGTGTCCCTAGTCCTGGCCAAAACTAGGGACGCGGGCCCTAACCGAGACCTTTGAAGGCACTCTCGCCTTCGTTCTCAGAGAATCTCTCGCAATCAAATACACATACGTATATTTGTATACTCAATATCCACTCAGCTCTTTCTGCAGTCTAGTACAGAAAGGCTAGGTCTCCATCTTGGCTCACCATAGCCTGGCTGATCGGACCAGGACTACGGCCCACCGCATTGTTATTTCAGCGGCAGTACCCTCGTTGGTTACGCAACGATAGGTTTTCTCCTGATAAGCATTCAGTCAGGATTTCCCAAAAATTCTCAACCTTTACTACCCCACGGAGTAATTTCCTTGGGGCGGGCAACTCTCCTTAAACTTTTACTCCGCGGTCTCGCAGCCAGGTTGCGCCGGCTAGCAGCCATCCACTGGGGTTACGCCCTAGAGGTGCTAATCTTTACCGCTTAGCTTGGTATTCCTCTACTATGTCCCAGAACTAGCACAAGTGGTTAGACGGAGCGTCGCAAAACCAATCACGGGCCCACTACGAGATTATGCAGGGGTCTGAAGACATTTACGAACTCTCCCACGAAAGGCATGACATCCTTCGCACAATCACAAACAAAATCCGCTAGGTCCACAAGGCCGTGACCCCTGACTTGATCAGAGCCAGCAGCCACTCATCCTGAGACGTTTTTCGCCCTGCACTCTTTTGCGACTTTCTCAAACATCTCAACCAAACGTGGTCCCTTTTCGTCAGACTTTATCAACTCAAACCCTGCTTACCATGCCCTTAAATCCATTAACCACCTTTCACATGAAGGAGGTCTCTCTCAACAGGTCTCCCAACCATCCCTCTCTTCCTAGGATGAGCTATCACACGACCCTTTTTAAAACACCTCCCTTTTTGGGGATGAGTCTTCCGATAAATAACGTTGTTACCTTCCTTAATCTGAAAGGGTCTCAATCATAGAACAACTCAACCATAGAACAACTCAAACTGAGAGGCCAACTTATGGGTCCTCTCCACAACTCAACCACGAACCAACTCAAGTGAGGGGTCTGCTTATGGGCCCCTTTTCGCAACTCAACCGTAAAACATTCGGCATGGTAAGTATTCGAGTCTCAAAGACTCGCAAAAAAATCCCTTAGGATCCTCACGGTTTCACAATAACAGACTGCACTCCCTCTCCTTATACTAGGCCTTATCACCCGCCGTGGGCAGATCGCGCGAGTATACCGGAGAGTAGACAATTCACATTCATTCATTCTCACAAAATCCACACAAAATCACCATTCATTATGATAAAGTCCACACATGTGAGAGTGATTGTGATCGTCATATACAAAAGACAGTCTCGGATAAGGCCTCAATTCAATATATACACAGGGTTACAATACCCCAACTCAAGCGCGAACCAAATGTCTCGAATTACATATATACACTCGGAGTTAACAATTTCAGCTCAAATTATCAATGGTATCACACAAAAACAAATACGGCTTCCTTGACCAAAGCTATAGCTAAAACAGTTTGATCACGACGTAGTCATACTTCTCAATCCGAGGGACCCAAGTAATCCAGGACATATCCAGATTTCCAAAGAAAAGTAAGGCTAGGAGTCGCCCATACACCAGTCCTGCAACTTCCTCCCTAGGCTAGACGGCCTATCTCCCCTACGCTAAGGTTTCTTCTCAAATCTCTCCTACCTCTTACACCTATACGTCTATCTAAGCCTAGGCAGGGAGTAGGTCCCATATCTCCTTCTCTCGATCAGTAGGCCTTAATGGAACAAATCCCTACTTCGTAACAATGCCCTCAGGATCACTCCTTGCCCCATCCTACCAAGTGATCCACGTCCCTAACACACGAATACCTCGAAATATACCCAAACATACACAAAGACCAAAATCACACAAATCTATCCCAACTGTACACGCCAACATATCACGCATCTGGACACAATTACCTAAATCGCACCAAAAGAAAAAACAAAGATTCGTCCAGCACTGCAATCTGCATATGTACAGATGGACAAGCTAGTCGTAACTACCCCTAGATATGCACATATCTAGCTTAGTCTCTCTATACAAAAAACTTTGATCCCACTAACGTATAGGCGAACCAATCCCCTACTTGCTCATTGCCCCCTGGTTTCACCTATATGGCCGAGCTATCTACAGCCTAAGTTACTTTACCGGACCATTATTGTGAAACCTCTCCCTGGATCTAACCTATGCACATACACACACCCAAGTATATGTCTGCCCCGACCCAGATAATATGCAACTAGCCTTTACCAATTAGTATGGGGTTAGGGTCACGCAATGGTTAGCCTGGTACTCCAGTTTCCATATCAATACATGTACAACTAACCCCTACCAACACGAATCCAAAAATCCAGGGCAGGCGACTGACAGAAACTTCCCAACCCAGGAGTTAGGGTGAATCCCCATTATGTCCTACTATACTTTCTCTGCCCTAGTCGTCTCATCTACCCTCGCCGCACCCTTAATCACTTGGCTCACTCTCATGACCATCTCATTCGGCACCGTCATGCCCCTTTCTTCTTTGAGCCCCACTTATGGTTTCGCTGGCTCCCGCCACGACCTTCAGCGCCTTGCCTGTCATTCCCACGGCCTCTATTGCTGCGTCCACCGTCTCCACGGCCCGTATTGCCACGCCCGCCATCTCCTCGGCCCGTAGTGCCACGCCCGCCATCTTCTCGGCCCGTAGTGTCACGCCCGCCATCTCCTCGGCCCCTTCCAACTGCCTGCCTTTGGCCCCTTCCACCTGTCATACTGTCCTGCGAAGCTTGCTGTATTGGTGACCACAACGGTCCGACAGGTTGGATTTGGACTGGCGGGGGCCCACGGGGCATCATGTTCGTCCAATGGCCCATATAATTGCTTTGCGCCCAAGGCATATAAGGGTTGTATGTCGGCCACAAGTTCATTCGGTTACCCGGCGTCCACTGCCTATGTAATGCTTGCTCGATCAGAGGAGGCCCCCTTGGTCTTGCCTCGCCTTCTCCCTCTTGCGGGGTAGCCGCTACTTGCTGCGAACTCTGTCCCTTTTCGGTACCTTGACCCCCCTGAGCGAGGTTCCTCGCCTTCCGCTGCGCCTTTGTCAACTTGAGAGGTCCATTCTCCTCCTTTATCTCATCCTCTCTCTTGCCTTTGTCCCTTGCTTGAACACTGACTTGCCTCTTTGGGATTCCTATCGAGAGGGGCGATTCCTGGTCACCCTTCTGTACTCCTCCTTCGCCTTGGCCAGTCGGCTTACTTGGGGAGTCTTCTGAAACCTTCCGCTTACCCTTCCTCGCCTCTTCTAGCCATTCTAACCTCTCCTCCAATACCCCTACTTGCCTTTGTAACCCACTTAACTCCGCCTGCGACGGTGGGCCCGCAACTGGTGGCACGGAGCATTCCCCATGTGGACCTTCCACTCCGTCTTCTGGGAATCTTAGCCTTAAGGAATGCACCAATTCATCCCATATTTTCGACTCCTGCTTGAGGGTATACACCTCCTCACTTAGCCTCTCGCAGACGAACAAGGGAAACATACACCACATCGCCTTCTTGTTCCACTCCTTTGCAAGGCTAAAGTCCTGAAAGTCCCGCAGAAAGTAAGACAAGTTTCTTCCTTGGAACAACAGAGCATGGAGGTCTGGAGGCATTGACTCTTGCAGTGCCTCGCACAACAACACCTTCAGCTGGCACGAATTTTTCCAACGCAGGACCTTGGCGAAGCCGCTTTCTTCTGCCATGATGCTGACAGCAACCTGATACGCGTAGCGGGCAACAAATCATCAAAAAGTGATTCAAGTAAGTTAAGGCAGACAAAGGCAACCTGCGAACACTCAAATCACGTTACCTACGCTTTTACTCATGCAATCAGGCCTCAACCCTCGGTTATCCTGACGCTTACCTTTATAACTACGGTAATGGGTAAAGAGACGACCATAGCCAAGTCAAAACAAGCGCATTTTGTGGAGGAAAAGGCAATCCCTACCGGCCCACTGCTGCCCGGATTTCCTCCCAGTCTACATTTCCCTCATTCAGATAATGAGAAGCGGCATATATGTCAACCATATTGGCCGTAGTCTTAAGCCACTACCTAAAAGGCGAGAACTTCGAGTCTAAGTACAGACCATATATCAGTTCACATTTATAGTGCCCATACTCCCAATTTCGCACCTTCATAGCGGCTTCAGTTGCCTCTTCTATTCTTGCATGTCCACCAAAGTTCTTCTCTACGAGGAAGTTAGGCAGGATTACTCGTAGCGGGGCAGATGGAAGTCCGAACTCCCCAGCGCGCTCGACCCTTACGCGGGTTAGTACTCGCTCTTCCCCATCACGGGACACTTCCCTCGCCCACTTTGCCGCGGCTGCCTCGGCTACCCTCAAAGGCTTAGTAAGCAAGCTCCCATGTCCAAGCGCCAACTCTATCCCATGCTCGATCCAGAATGAGGGCGAGGCGTACAGCGTCACCCTTACAATCGCACACTCCTGCTCGTCATCGAACCCAGACTCGATCCAGACAAAGATGTCCGTACCCATCGACATTCCCCACCATGAAGAGTGGTGCTCTCCTGCTCTGACCCGCCTAGGTAAAGATACCTCGAGCCCTCCCTCTTTCTCAATTGGCCCGAGCATACGCGGGTCTTCCCGTGCGTAAGGCATCCTGAGTTGCCTTAGTTCCGTCTGGGCTCTGCCCATCACAAACAAACGTCCAGCATGCGCCTTCCATTACCATGCTAATAATCACGTTCTAGCATCTCTACTCTTATTTGAGGAGCAGTCCAAACACATATAAACGCCCATAGGTTAATAATTGGACTCGAGATGCTCACATAAATCCTGACAGACTGATAATTCAAATGCATACCTCAGATGCATAACCTATATAAATATTTCTGACAAGGATAATTATCAAAGGACTATAATCACCAAGTACATAGCCTCACACGATCAGACACTAGGCAAGCTTACTCCGACAGTATCCGGCATATAGGACCGAGTTCAACATATAACTTAAATAGAAATGCCCTCAGACGATTAGTCTCAGGTCCTTAGTTCCAACTCATAGATTCTAGTGGATGGTCCAACCCTAGAAGGGGCTCAACGCAATGGTCTACCATAAATAACATGATATACCCTCCACTATCAGGCGCCATACAGGTCTACTACTTCTCGTAGTCCTTTCTATTGCGGCCTTACCACGGTGCTCACTGCATGTCTTTACTGCCTTATACGCCTAATTTCAAACATACCATGCGGAGCAAGCCTCATACTTCTATGGCCATACAACTCGAGCAACTACTTAGAACCCAAATTTCAGGATCCCAATTCATACTCGTACAAACTCTCAATATCCGTAGCCTAACTCTCCTCGAAGTCCCTTAACGACTTCTAACCCAGTAGGCTTCCTTTACTCATTCTATGCCCCACCCTAAAACCAAAGTGCTATATTGCATCCTTGACCGCTCGGGTAACTTCCCTTAGCCATTATGGGCACCTTACACGGCCAAATCCCACAATCCATACTTAGTTTTGCTGATGCCACCTCATCCTACCTTAGTTGTATCAAACATGCAATTCATTGCCCAAACCCATCAACTATCGGTGTCAGAAGAGGTGTCAACTCCAACTACCGTCATACTAGTCAAACTACGCAAGTGCATAGTCGAAGTACGTGTGCACGTAGTCAACGTACGTGGGCGCATAGTCAAAGCCTACCCTTTTCGTGGCACCCTTACTGCACCGAATAGAACCAACTCGCACAATCACCCCTCACTTGGTCTCTATCCAATACCAACAATCGATTAACCATGAACGTCAAAAGAAATTTCTTAATTTGCCTATTTCTCACATTCCAATACCCGGATGTCGTTTCACCAGGGACAACGGTAGGCAACCGTTATCCCCGGCAACAGCGCCACCTATCGGGCGCATCGGTCCGGCACCACACGTGGCAGCGCGGGACCCTCTCGGCCGCGTCACGCAGGAGTTGGACCAACCTTGCCGCGAACACACAAATGGAGCTTCCTTAGGCCGCTCCGGCCGAGTGCGTCAGCCATACCTCTCGCGAGCCTCTACGACAGGATAGGGCCTACGCGAGGCACAACTTACCTCCACCTTACGAGAGTTGTCACCTCCCTTCGGTGGGCGTATCCCCGCTGAGCTACCAGTCCACAGTACGAAAGCTACTCGGTTGCAATCGCAGAGGCGGACCAGCCGAGGGCGTTTCTCGTTCGCTGTAGCATAGGGGGTACGCGCAGTAATACGCTTATCGGGCCCACACGCGAACCGAAATCTTGGGGGGCTGAAGTCCCAAGCGTGGTTCTTCGTCGGTCGACTAGGACGCATCTCACACACTACACGCACACCACTTTACGAACACAAAAAAATAAAATACACACACACACACACATCGAACAGCGCGACAACACTCCTAGTCCCTTCAGCAGCCGTCCCATAACTTCCCGACGCGGAAATCGAATAGGCATCGCGCACGAGACTCAGTATAAAACCGCACGAACGGAGGGCTAACTCATATCGACTCGCAATGCAAGCATACGCAAGCAGTCGCAATGATGGCGTACTACGTAGTACCCATACTCACGCGGTCCCCGTTAATCGCGAGGGTTGCATTCGACACTCAAGTGTCGGCTGACACGCGCCTTGAGGGTTAATCTCTCGAAGCTGGACAACCGCCATGCGCGGTTGATGACCACACCCTCTTCTGCACCCTGTGCAGAGGGGTTGAGTA